TCACAGAGCAGTTTTCTTTGTGGGTAGTTGTCCACTGCTCTTGAAGATAAAAAAGATGCTGTAACTTGGTGTTACTTTCTTGAGAGGTATAATGACTTCATAGATAAGTATGAGATGAGTCGCAGCCTGGGGCAACACTTGCAGGATGTTTCCCATGAGAAGCAAGCTTTTGTTTTTCCAATTTATCTTAATCAAATATAGCATGACATGTTTCCCCCCTGTGGAAGGGCTGAGTCTTGAACCCAGTTTGAAAAGCAGTGTATCCATGGAGGAAAACAGATTTTTAGTGCATTAAGTTCAGCAATGAGTTCACTGTAATATTTTTCTTGCTGGCAGACATATCACTTTTCTTTGTGAAATGTTTCTAAATTAGAGACAGTCTAAAATTTTACCTTCCCTAAAAAGAAAAGGTTAAAATTAGATGTAGTTGTTCTTGTGCTTGTGTCACTTCAGCAGGGTGGCTGTTCTGTGAAGGGGCACGTGAGAAACCAACATTTGTTACGGAATTTGTTTGCAGCTTTAATTGTGTTCACAGTCTAGGTGCTCTACAGAATGATTAATAATGTGAAAATATGATTCATTTTTAATTGGATACTCAGTCATTTTTCCTTACGGTAAAGACTTTTCTGTTTTAAGTATTATACATATCAGCATGCTTTTAAGGATTTTAACTTCCTGATTTTTTTTTTTTCATGTGCCTGCTCTGTCTTTCCACTCGCACGGATGAATTTCCAAGCATAATTTATAGATAAAAATATTATACTTTCTAGAAATTTCATAATACAGCATTCAAAATAACTTATTTCTGAGGATTAGCAATGTCTATTCTAACTTGGGTGCCTTCAATCACTGAACTAAAACTTCTCTGAAGGCCTGTGAGTTCAAGAGTTCGAGGTTACCTTCTGTGAGACATTCGGGTTATATAGCCAGGGTTTTCCAAACTCCCCTAAATTACTGTTGCTAAAAAAGAGATTTATGTTGAGTTGATCTTGATGACCAGATCTTGTCTTGTTTGATTTGTAAATTGTACAGATATTTCTAACAAATCGCATTCCAGCCTAACCACAGGCTCCTTCTGGTCGTCAGTAGTGGCAAGCGAATGTTTCTCACCCGAGTCAGCAGAATGTTTCTCAATTTCTTCTCTGTTAGCCCTTGTTAGTGCCTCCTGCAATTTAAAAAAAAAAAAAAAATCATTGGAAGAGGGTGAGGGAAAGACAGTTGGTGTTCAGGATCTTACATGCCTTGAATTTCAGCGACTCTTCCTGGTTTGGCAAGCAGCGTGTCTACTAAATCGCCTGGTTTTAGTATTTGTTGTCTGGTAGGATAGTTTTGCAAATGCCCTTTTCAAAGGTAGAGCTGCAGTTAGAGTCAAAGAGGGGATATCTTCGGAGTTTTCCTAAAGTGTTGAAATAAACGGAGCTATTGCAGAGAGGCAAAATGCTCCGACTATTTACTGCGGCCCCACGCGGAGAAGGAGGAGGAGAGGGTGGAGGAGGTATTATTTGTGAAGAGGATTAAAAAATTGTATGAGAATTAATCCTTCTGGCACAGGGAGGAGTATAAAGAAAACATCCCAGAGTTAACTGGGATTTTCCAAAGGTGGCACCTAAAACTCGTTTGAAGTTGGTTCCCTGTTCCATTGAGAGTTAATTGCTATTTAATTTAGCTATTGCTAAATAGAAATATTTATTTATTATAAATACTGCTAAATATAAAGCAAAATGGCACCTCTCTTATGAAACATCCAGTGGCCCTCCCACTCTTCCTCCCCCCGCATTGCAACCATGGTCCTGTTTAGCCAACCATTGTTTTGAGGTGCTTGGTAACCATGGCTTTGTGAAAGTATAATGCTCTATGTAAGCTCTCAGGGCTGAGCTAGAACAAAAGCAGATGTCAGAGATGTTGCATGCAGCCTGCCAAGCCGTGAGACGTTGTCCATTTGACTAGCAGGGCAGCTGGGCTCCGCTGCCAGAGGAGGACACAGGGTTGTTCTGCTTTCCTTTGGCCTGTGCCGAGTTCCAATACTCCACACTTCATCACTCTAAATGAACTGTTTATGCTTTATTTCTTATTCCAGTTAAAATGTGGCTTCTGTGGGTTCCATAACTCCAACTTTTTTCCATTATAGAATTGTTTACATTACAGTGGAAGAATTATGTTCAATTGGCGTAGTCTTCAGGTGGCTCAGTGGCCGTTTACAGCTGCTTTGTGAAATGCCTTTTTTTCCATTGGCTACTTCTTGTAAAATTTTTCCTTTTGCAGACATTTGTTGAGACTGGGAGAGCTCTTTTAACAGGAGGCAATGTTTTGAGGCCATTAAGCCATTTCAAGGATGGCAACTCTGTTGAGAGAAGCTGTTCGTGGCAAGAAGCTCCTGCAGCAGCCTCCTGTTAGGCATTTTGTCACTGCTTGCTCTCCTGAGATTGTACGGTCGTCTTTACACACCTTGTGTGCAGTTTGAGAAGAAACGCTGGTAATGCTATCACTGAAACCTTGCAAGGGGTTGGGGGCCTCGCTACAGTAGCGATTAAATTTGTCTCTTACCATTATAAAACTGAAACTAACAGTCTCCCATCACAGCTGGCTGTAGTTATACTGTAGTGTGGCATGTCTTCCAAATTTTGTGGAACTGAAAATCATACTTCTTGATTCACACACCATATCTCACTGCCTTGGCAACGACCTTACCTGTACTCTCAAGGGAACGTAGGAAGTGGTCATTTACAACTCAAGTACGTGGGGATTTCCTCCATGCAAATTTGCTGTTCAAGAGAATTTTATTGCAGACTTCTGCAGGTGAAAAGCATTAATTTAAGGAAGATGGCCTGAGACCTTTTTTTGTCCTAAGGTAGCTGTCAGATTGGGGAGAGGCAAGCAGGGGATGGGATTAAATTCCCCAAGTTTCGGAGTACAGTGGAGAAAGAGGTTCCCAGGTTTGCCTTAAATGTGCTTTACAATTTTAAGAAAGTTTCAACTCTCTTTGCATCTGTCCTCAATGAGTAAAACAGATACGCTATTTGTTTAGATATGAAGCTGCAGGGGACAGGGATGATCTTGCTACAAGTACCAAAAAGGAGTTCATTGCCATTGGGGCCTACAGAAATGTCAATAGTATACCTTATTAGTCATTGGTTCATTCATCCATTCTTTGTTCTCCCTGCCATATCAAAATCACTCGTGTATCGATTTCTGGATCCTCTCTTTTTCAGTTTTACTTCAATGAACTTTTTTTTTTTGCAAGAGACTATGCCTCGTTTATCATATCAGCAGGTTGCATCTATGTATTCATATAATCCAAAGTATGCCAAAGCACTTTGAATTAGTCTCCTGTAAAGTAACAAGGAATAAATAAAAGAATTTGCTTGGTATCAGGGCAGCTTGTCCTTTACCAATTGCATGCCAGAAGAATGGTTTTATTTTGAATTGTTTACATATGACAACAGTAGTCACAGCTATCCTACAGAAAAATGTAACTGGTATTTTTTGCAACATTCTTATTTCACTGCCGTTAAAAAATTACAGTATCAAAGTACTTGCGTAAGTCCAGTGCTCTGGTCTTTTCAGTGGGACCTGAAATGTTGACGTGAGTGAACCCAACTAAAATCTTCTTCCCAGCAAGTCTAGAAAAAGCAATGGAGCCTCACCTTTTGTGTGAGACCTGCTGTGGAATTTCACCCTTTAATGTGCAAATGAAGCCTGCAGGGTCCTCTGAATATATCTCTGGCTCCTGCATTTCAAAGTGAGCTTTGGAAGCCTTGTGCAGGGGAATGGCAGTGCTGAGGTCTATGGCACTTTCCCTCATTATTCTGTAATAAATAGCTTTGATTTGGGTGGGGGGTATCAGGCTCCCTTATTGGTCTAGTAAAACATGACTCATTAAAAGGAAAAAACGTAGAAGAAAATTGTTGACAATAAGTTTCCCAACATGATGTCAAAACCCGTCAAATCATTAATAGCAGAAGTTAAGGTTTCTGTAATTTATTCTGCACGGAAATAAAACTTTAAAATTTATTTAAATCTGTGACTTTATGAAAAGACCTTAGTTTAACTCAGCACTTTTTTTTTTTAATTCTTCCTTCTTCCCTGGACAATGTTTCCCTGACCTTTTGCTAAGTGATTTATTTTTGAGCTACAACATCTAGTGTTCAGGCCATAGACTACTTGAATTGCTTCACACTTCTTTTGTATTAAAATAATGGCAGTTTTTTCAGGTTTTTTAAGTATGTAGCAGTTCAATTCTTGAATAGATTTTTATGCTAGTTTTATTTGGAGGTCTGTCCAAAAAAATCTTTTAATGTAAGATGGAGACTAGAAGTATTTCAATTATACAGCATTTAAATAACATTTAACTTTATATTTCAAACCATTTTCAGCAAATAGCAGTAAGGTCACTTTCTTGTATACACAGAGAAACTGACACAAATTAAGGAACTGATTTTTGGAGAAAGATCCAAAAGTTAAGAAGTGCCACTGTAAGATATCGTAAAGTCCCAGTCATTTAAAAAAAAAAAAAAAAAAAAGACACATAGAATTTAAATGCCTCTATCCTCTAAAAGCAACAGTAGGGAAAACTCCTGTTCTAATAAAGCTGTAGGCCATAAATACCTTAAGGAGGACATTTTAAAGTTTTGAAAATTTTCCTGTTTTTTAAGAAGTAAGGATTCTTATTTCTCCTTGGCAACCTCATACTACTGTACAATGGCATGGCAAAAGCTGAAAGGCTCCTTAACATTTTTAGTGGATCACAAGAAGGATGTGGTTTTTTGTTTGGGTTTTTTTTGTTTTTTGTTTTTTCTGGAAAGAGCATTAGTAGCTCAACATTGCACTTCAGATGGTCTAAAAAAACCCCGACATTTTACATATATAACATTATTAATGGCCAAAGCAAGAAACACTGTTTTAGCCTAGGTTCCTTGCATCAGGGACAAATGTGGGTTTTTAATTTTAACATTTATTATAACTAACATAAAATGCATTTGAAATTACTTGTGTTTTTTCAGGGTCCACACATAGCATCAGTTACTCTTGCTGCATATGAATGTAACTCAGTTAATTTTCCTGAGCCTCCTTACCCGGATCAAATTATCTGCCCTGATGAGGAGACGACTGAAGGCTCCATCTCTTTATGGGCTATCATCTCAAAAGTCAGGCTGGAGGCCTGCATGTGGGTAAGGTTTGGTTTATAAAACTTAAGAATTTTAATTTATGCACTTAATTTGTGTGTTCAGCAATACACAAAAATTCCTGAATTAGCAAAATAATGATGGCTTACTCTGCCAACAGTAACACGTGTATCTGCAATATGAATAGTTGCTTTCCTGATCAACCTTCTCTGTACTAGCCCTGGATAATTTTAATCTCCTTTAAAGAGAAGTAATAGGATATTACTGGGCTATCTTTTATTAGCTGCAGTGTTGACTACTTTTCTAAATGCTAGTAGAAAACGCTCATGTGCTTCAAAGCTGTTGATGTAAAAGGTAAGTTTCAGAAAGGGTATCTGCATCCCAAACGATCTTGCAGCTGTCAGGTCTCACACTGCATGCAGTTAACAAATAACGTCAAAAATTTTGAGCCTGTAACTTGAGTGAAGTTGCAGTTACTCATATGAAGGACTCAGGCCCTAATATCATAGCTGAAATGTTTTTCTGGGTTGCATCAATAGATTGGATTAAATAGTGCTAAATGTTGCACATTTTTATATATTTTATTCCTATTTCTCTGCCTGTTTCCATTATGGCAAACTTTTCACTTAAAACAGGAAAAGCAGGTTAGCTTTTAAGTGAATCACAGTCTTAGGAAACACTGTCATTGGAACTTCGTTTCCGTTTTCCTTTTTTTTTTTCCTTCTACAGCTTTTTACAGAAGTTTCATTTTTGGAGGATTTCGGTCAGCTAAGATGTTTTTTTCATTACGTGTAGATTATTTTGAGTTGAAGTTTACACAGATGCATCGGCTGTGAACTGCATGCCAAATTAACTTTAAATTTTACTACTGACTTCCTGTTCTGACTGATGATTTAATTATGAAATTCTTGGTTGTCCAATTCAAATGTAGAGAGGGGAAATTCTGAAAATATATGGTATCTGATGTCTGCCCTTGCATTCCTTCTAATGATATGAAAAGATATATTAAGGCAACTTTGGTCACTACAACTTTTAAAATTATCAGCAGCTGTGTTACCTACAAAAATTCCAGTTAGGTCGTACGCATTACAGACTGAAGTAATGTGTAGCAATACCAAAGTCAAAATACTAACAGAGAAAGTGGACTTACAGCCCTCTCAAGAAGCAAAGTACATCTTAAATTTCACTCTTTCTAATGAGAGGACAGAATTGCCTGAATGCTTGATAAGTAGCTAAACATACAAGTACTTACAAGACCATAAATATAAGATTTCTTTTTATTTTCTTCCTCGTCCCCCTCTGCTTAAGTTTGTTTAATGGAGACTAGAGTAATAAAAATGGCATTTACAATTACGTTTCTAGGGTTGCAAAATAAAAATGTAGCTCAGGGTAAACAGCCATTGCTTAATCTTCAGCATGTAAAATAACTGAACTATGACGAGAATGAAGTAGTTTAGAAATGAGTTAATAGAGTTGCAAGCATTGAAAGCTCGTGTCCTGAGCAGCCATGAGGGAGAACAAATGGTACCTTCAGTCTCTCACTTAAGCTGTGTTTCTTGGTTCAGGCTAGGAAAAGGACAAGGGAACAGGACCAAGCCAGAACATTTGTATCCCACTCTCTCCCCCCCCTTTCTTTCTTCTCGCCTTCAAATTCACTGTCAGCTACCTTTTCACTGAACTCTGTCTCCACTAGATTTTCCCTTGGGAGCATCCTCTGTCTACCAGTGGTGTCTAGTGTAATGTTATGCTTTCTTGGAATGTTTCATGAGTACATAAACATTGCTTGCTAATTTCCTGTAAGCCAAATCAAGTTGGCAATTGCTGCTGCTTCTTCCAGTGTGTTTCTTTTGTCCTAATTCCAGTTCACTTTTTATGGAAGCTGTTGAAGAAACTTGTTTTTGATTCTGTCACTCTTAAACTGAATGTCCATCTTAACAAGAAAGTAATGGTGACTTCCAGAAAGTGAAAAGGCTGATTTTTGCAAATCAAAACCTTACTAAAAAAACCTGGAATTTAATTAATTTTCTGCTTTCAAACTGAAATCAAGAATATTAAGTTTAATTCCTAATCTGGGTATGATTGAATGAGCTCACAAAATTTTTTTTTTTTTTTTAATGGAACCAGCAACTTCTAATTGGATCTAAAATCTGAACTTATGACAAACCCTGGATAAATGTAAAAGAAAAGGAATTAATGGATGTATACAGATGTGCTCCTAATGCAGCACATGGAGCCCTGTGAGGAATAGGTACAATAGCAGCAACAGCCTATTTCTTTTAGACTTGTAAAGTGAAATTATGTTGAAAGGCTCCAAAGTGAAATCTGGCCAATCTCCTTGATTGTTTGGAGGGAGACAGGAGGGTGGTAACAATATAAGTTTTCATGTGAAATGCTGAAAGCAGGTCGGTCCCAGTGGGGACTTTGCAGACCTCTGACTATAAAGCTAACAGACTAAGCATCCTGCAAGGTTTGAATGCAGGGATTTATCTGCACAAGGGATTTGATTCAGATCACAAAAACATCAGCGGCTGTTTCAGCCAACTTAAACCAGGTACAGTTTTTTCCAGAGATTAAAATCATTACTAGTCCCCTGCATGTCAGTGATAGCCATTTTTGCTGATAATGAGTGTTACGAGGATTAAATATCACTGTATCTAAGGAATTATTAGGTGAAATGAAAATGATGCTTTTTTTCAATCACTATAAATGTTGGCTCCACCAGTCCTGGCCTGCAGAAGGACTCTCAAAAACAATCTGCTAGGTGTATGCCAGTTTTCACAGCCTTCCATCCCACAGGGACAAGGAATTCAATAGTGCCCTACATTTTTAATGTGGTGCAGCTTTTTTTTGTTTTTTACAAGAAATAAGGGGAAAGAATAAAAATGTTTAATTGCTCAGGATTAGCAGAACAGGCAGCCTGTGTCCTGACCGGGATAAAATCTGTTTAAAAGACTCTTTCTAGTGGAGTAATTTCCTAGTTTCCTTTTCTGAATTATTTGTGTAAAAGAATTTTGATTAGCATTTGCCTTTCCAATTTGTTGTTAGTCCAAGGAATCTCCATGTAAAACTGGCATTCAAAGTTAAATGGTGAAAATGGACAGCTAAAGTTAACAAAAAGCAGTTAAATAGTTACTGATTTGAATGCCTTAATTGCTTCTTTTTTTTAATGCACTTAAGGAACCTATCTCCAGCAGACATGAAATCATATGATTTTTGTTGCACTTCTGAAATGTTTTGTAATAATGAGCATGTGACTTATCCAATTTAAAGAAAGTTCATGTCCAGTACACGCATGCAAACCTCTTCCTCGGTTAACAAAATGAAGCCAAAGCAAATTGGCAGAGCCTGGAGAAGCAATGTGACTTTTTGTTCTTGCATCACCCTGAGAACATAACCTCAACTTAATTTTTCTGAAACGTTGTTGCTACTGTTTTCAGGCTTATCTTCCCTTGCGCCAGAAATAGGCAGATTAATGAAGTTCAGCTTGTTGCACTCGTTTAAATTTTTCTTCTGTGGAAAACAATGGCATAAACATATGAGGCTGTGCACTTTATATGCTTAAACTGAGAATTTAACAGTTTGGGTAACTGCAGAGAGTGGCTGTATTTAAAACCACAACCTGTTGATTTGGAATATCCACAGCAGCTGGAATTCTCTCTCGCTTGCAGCTGCATATAGATCAGGAACAAAGGAAATTGAAAAGCTTTCACATTGCTTCAAAGGAATAGAAAAGCATTTGTTACTCACTACTGACCCTAAGGGAGAAAAGCCATCTGCATGTAGCTAAGTTTTAGCACTTTTCCAGTGTGGTGCCCCACTATTGTGCTATTACCTGTCCTATATTTAAACCGTTCTGAGTTTAGTCCAGGTTCCTGTTTCATTAGCGTCTGTTTATCCATATGTTCAATCTTAGCTGTCTCTCTTTTCTTTTCTTTTTTTCCTTGGTTAAGCTAAAGTTGCATTTACCCACAAGACTGAAATGAGTCATTTGATGTCCTGAGAAAACAAATATAATTTTCCTGTGGTGAGAAAGCAACCATGCTTTTATCTCGGGTTCTCTTGGCTTGCTTTATTCCATCTAAAGGAGAGAGAAAACTCGAGATCAAGCTTTGCTTAACCTTATTTTCCTTGCTGTAGTAAAACTCGAGCCTGTTTTCTAATAAACACTTGCACAAAGTCTCATGACTGAACAAGTAAACTACATGACGGCACCGGGGAGGAGTTCCCAGATTGTTTTGAAGGCCGCTCAGGAGCAAGGGCTGTCACATGCCGGCAAATGTGTCTGGCATCATGCGGTGGGGTGAGATGGCAGCGCTGTGCTGAGTCAGGGATCGTGTCGGACAGCAGGGCCCCCGGCCTGGCCGGCTCTCCGGCTGCGGCGCAGAGACAAGCTACAGCCTCCCCACCGCACCAGGCGCAGCTGGCCACCGGCTGCGGAGCTCTGCCGGAGCTGGGCAACGTGCCACTCTGCAGGGCCCCAGAGATGCACAGATCATGTCGTTTTGACCTTGCAGACCACAATTTGGGAGCCACTGACTTGCAGCATGATAGTCTGTGCTGAGAGAAGCTGCGTTTTGCTAAAGAAGGAAAGGGGGAAAGTAGGGTTTCAAAGGAATAGCATTATGTTTGAAATCGGGAGAAATTTGACCTGGTAGATAAAAGCGAACTTCTTAAAGCAGCTGGTCTCATCCGTTCTAATCATTTGAAATGTCCACGGGACTATGCATATCACATGTTTCCTATTTAAGAATAAGCATGAAAATAAATCAGAATTATTCTTTTCCCAGGGTGCTGGCACAGCCATTGGAGAGCTGCCTCCATATTTTATGGCGAGGGCGGCCCGACTCTCTGGTGCTGAACCTGATGATGAAGAGTACCAGGAATTTGAGGAGATGCTGGAACATGCAGAGACTGCACAAGTAAGAACAGTGCAAAACAACAGAATTAATAAAACACAGAACAACTAGATGGAGTAAATAACTATTCCAATGAAATGGGAATGGGCCAAAAATCAGTTGATGTGAGTTCACAAGGGACTTCCCAGGGACGGAAAAAGATCTTCCACTGGGTAGAGATACCTCTGGTGATGGGAGGACAAGAATGCAGCTTGTTGAAGCACATACAATAGTGCAGCCAAAGTATTTGCTACAAATACTGCATTTATTTAGACTTCCAAGAACAGCACAATAAAGGTAGGGAGAAAGTGGGCTAACAAACCAGTGACAAAAGAGGTGCTATTCCGTAATCATGGTTGTTATAGCTGCATTTAAAGCCTCCCTGGGCCAGGAGATGATTTTCAGTCAGCTCATCCCCTTCAGATGACATTTGCCTGCCTTGCCACTAACACCCTCAGGGGCCAGTGCATGACCCGTTCATCAGCCTGAGGAAGCATATTTTTCCTGATGTGAAAATGCAACCAAACTGCTCTGAATCCCTTTTTGTTGCTCTTGTCATTTATTTGCTTGATGGATTAAATACTGCTTGTGTTACAGCATAGTTTGCAACTGATGCTGTACATCAGTCAGATTTTATTGTAGATAATTTTTCATTCAGGTCAGGAGTTTGCATCCTGTTCACAAGTTATTGATAGTGTTTTAGAAGAAATTAAACATTTTTTCCTCAAACTACTTGCCACTGAATTTCTCTTCTGTATTTTTCCTTCTTACCCTGTTTTGTCTGCCACTAAGTTGAAACGGGTCATGAGACTGCTATTAAAAAACCAGCAGATGCTATTTACCATGCACTGCTGTCTTTAAACTGTTCTGCCAGGGTATTTTCGTGATATATACTTTTACTTTTTTCCTCCTTCTCTTCAAAAAATGGATGAAGCTTTTCCATGAAAGAAAGTGGTTTGTCTGGAAATACTGAGTGCAATCTAGTAATTCTAACAGTAAACCCTGTGTTTCCTGAGAGCCTCCCCCTACTAGAAAGTTCCAAAGGGTTTTTCTGCTATTGTAAATAGTAAATTCTTCTATTTCTTTAAAGATGCAAGGGTGGGGGGGGGAATCTGCTTTGTGCTTTGTTCTTTACTCTATCATCAGTCTTTGCTTTGCAAAGTAATCCCTAACTGTATAAAAATCAAGCCGTGGTTAGAAAAAAAAAAAAGAAAAAAAAAAAAAAACTAAACCAGTTGAATACATGACTCGAGAGCTGAAATGCTATCTGTGTTTACTGAAACCCTCCCAGCAAATTATATGCGTGTACAGTTGTGGGAGCAGCCAGAGTTGGTTTCCAGAACGCGCAGTAAGATTCTTGGGAAGAAAATTTTTGCTAGAGAGCATTTTGTCAGGAGAGGCCAAAATATAGCTAGCTGTATTGACTGCCCTTGGTAAACGAATGGTGTTGTGTAATTAATTAAGAAAAATGATGGTGTTATTTACCAGTACTTTTGATTTTATTTTCTTGCCAATTGAATTTGGATTAAAGCATGTTGTTTTGTGGATGGATGGCCAGGAAAAAAAAAATCTTTTTAAACTCCACTTGTGGTTTGGTTTCTATAAAACTCTTTTAACATGAGGCTTTGACAATCCGATTAAATTGTATTGCGCTCATAAAACTGACAGTTCAGTTTTTTCCATTTGCTAATATGACTTCCTTTTCGCTTTTGGCTTCAATCATGTTTTTGCTAGATGTCTGTGGGAGACAGGCCTGCGTTTTCCTATGACCTTGAGTAAATCCCAATCTTCAGCATAGCTTATCGCTATTTGTTCTGTAATTGCTATTCATGAGCAGTTATGATGTCTATTTTTAAATTGCTCAGTAACAATTTTTATTACCTACATCAGCTTCTCCCACTCTCCCAAGTTGAAGCCTTATGCTTAAGAAAACACGGGGGATGTGACAAGTGTCTTATGCCGTGGAGACTACTACAAACGTTTGACGTCAAATGACAGGAGCCTTCTTTCAGTATAAAGGTCTCGCTTCATCCTGCCTTTTTGAAAGGCATGAAAATGGGTGTGTTAGATTTTGAAGAATAGCTTCCCCCTCTACTTCTGCTGAGCTGCTATATGCCTACAAGGCAAAGCCAAATGGCTTGACGTTTTTGCCTGCCTGTGTTTTGTTTAGAAAGCTTGTCGCTGCTATTTCTCAAAAACAATGGTAATTTTGAGAAACAGATGAGGATCTTCTATGGTGAGAATAGACCATGAATCCAGCCTGAAGGATCTGTGAGGGAGAATGTGCTTGCTAGCTTGGCACTTCAAAAAACAACAAAAAAAGGAACCTAAAAGGATTAAACAGCGTAAAGGTTTAGTGCCCCGTTCAAAGTTACACAGAGTAAAATACTATTTACGTTAAAGAGTCTGTTGATGGATTTTTCTGTCATAAATCTCAGATCTAAGTGACCTGTCTCCTTGAGCTAGGTTTTGAGAAAACTCATTAGCCTGCAGACGATGTGTAAGTCTGCCTTGTACTTTCTATTAGCATACTTCAGAAAAAGCCCCTCATTTTAAAGGAACACTCACTTCCCCTTTCTGTGCGTCCCCGTGTGTGCACGCCAGTGGGTTAGTCCCAGTTACATAAAGGGAGCGTCAGAGCTTCTCTTGCCTCGTGGCTGCTCTTGTTAAAATCGAGCGGCTTTGCCCTGGAGAAGGAGTGTGGTTTACAAGCAGGGCTCTTTTTTCTCAGAGCTCCACACAATGCAGAGCCCAGCGTGCTATAGGAACAGAGCAACCCAGTCCGATTTGTTAATACTTAAGGCAGTATTTAAAAATTACGAGTGTTTGAAACGGTATCTCAGTTGCTGTTAACTCTCTTCCAGTCGAATTCCAGAGCAAAGGAGTTTTTTATCGGAGCTCCCCTTTATAGCCACGGGGAGTATCTCCAGTGCAGCCGTTCAAACCAACCTCTCAATTAGGGGAAGTGAATCTACTACTTAGTGCTGGGGCAGCACATTGGTAATAATACAGTGCAAGCATACTTTTGTACAGTTTCATGTCTACACACACATGTGCAGGGACTCTCTTTTGCCATTTTAATAGTTGCTGATTGTTAAGTATTCTCATCTTTTCTCTGTCATGCTGAAACACTTAAAGCTGACGGAGGTTTCTGGTGAAAATGAAGCTTTTAATGCCAGCTTCCCTCAAGGTACTTAGTGATACTGCGTAACGCGTGGGCCCTTGCTGTATCACGGTACTCCTTGCTAAGAGGAGGAAGTACTAATATCTTTGCTGTGTATCTAATCCTTAGTGACTGTGAGTGTTTGGATTCATTAAGTGGCATATTTTTAAGAACTAATGATTTACACATTGGGCTTTGCTTCTGTGCAGCGTTGCTGCAGCCAAATTTCCATGTAAAAATATTTTTGAGTTGCCTATGTTACTATCAGCCACTGCTGTTTGTTTACTTTCCAAACTGTGTCCTGCCTCTGAAAGAATACAACCTTGAAAAAGGGTTAAATCCATAGAAATGCTGAGATGCAGCAGGACTCGTTCGTAAATGATTGAGTGCCATCTGCACACTGACTGTCAGTTGTTGCTGGGACCTGTTTTTGACTCCACTGAACCTTTACTGGTTGTGGTTTGTCTGGCCATCACATGACTTCTCTGAAAATTCCCCCTCCCCTCCATTTCCAGTAAACTGTTTGAACAGGAGTGACTCAGACTGAAACCAGCTTCCCTGTAACCACAGGGCTTGTAAAAGAATTTGTCAACGTGGACTCAAGAGGGTTTGTATTAAACTAAGCTGCAACTGCTTCGGTTTGCATTGCGTCAGGAGTTCCACCGAAGAACTTCCTGCTCGGAGAGTCGGCTTCTTGTCTGCAAGGAGTTAAACTGATGAACTTTTGCGATAGTGACAGTTGGACACATGTTAAAGCCATCTTTCCAGCATTTCTGAAAGGTCTGGTGCCTTGAGCTGGATTGCTTTTCCACACCTTCATGTGGGGTTTCTCTTCGCAGAAGCAGAACAAAGTACGCTACCACACCCAGCCATGGTTCCTGGGAGAACCCAGCACTGTGTTCTGACAAGACACTGTGACTTAATTCAAATGGAATGATTAGGTTCAACTAATAAGCAAAATGTTACTTAATTAGCAGTGTAAAAGAAGATGGCCAAATTAAAAATGGATCTCTCCCATGATTAAACTAGCAGCTAGTATCTGATAAGTTTCTGCTTGAAAAGGATTCCCTGGCTGCTGGCTTGTTTAATAAAAAAGTTTTAAGGGTATTCGGTACAAGAAAAAAGAAGTTAAAGCAGACCACAAGCAGGTTTTTATAAAGCAGTTATCATAAAAATGGAAGTGGTAGAGTCACATACAATAACTGGAAAACCTTGACTTCTTTTTTTTGCTTTCCCAGAAATAACTTGTTTAAACCCAGTATCAAATTCCGTTCATAATTCCTCTTGCTCAGTCTTCCAGTCACCCCCTTTCCTCATCAGCTTCCTCTCTTTATTAATTGTGCCGTACAAAAAAGAGATTGCTGGTGTTTGGTCTAGGCTGCCTGATGGGTGGCCACCAGGAGGCCTGTCTTCACACACTGCATTCCTCAAGTTTGATGCCTGCATTTGTTAATATACGTAGGGGAGGTATCTTACCTCTTTTATCTTGGCCCATAATTAAATGGAAATTCAAAACTAATCAAACCTTGAAGCTTCACTTTAGAAACTTCCTATGAATGCTATAGCTTGAGAGTGAGATGGCAAACTGATAGTGAAAAAACGGTGATTTTTTTTCACAGACAATATGATAAGCAGTGAATAGACTAAGTATCAGCTTAGTTTTAAATTGTTTTCCAAAATCAGTGAGTTGAAATAAGCTTTGGAATGAGTCAATGAAAGCTTTAAATAAGGGAACTTGTTATAGAGGACTTCCTGAGAAAAGAGGTAGCAAAGAGTTAATATAGGCAGAGGGGAGACAATAGGAGCTATGAGTAACAAATGTGTAAGCCACCTCCTTGCTGGATTTCTTTGGACACTGGCA